GAAACAACATGGCCGTCAACCAGATCGGTGCAGTTAGGAAACGCCCGACGACAAGGGCAATCAGCAGCAGCAGGTAGGCACAGGTCCGGAGTGACACTCAAGGCCACTTCCGTAAAATTACAGAATTGTAACACTAAAAATCGGAGCGCAAGGGCGAAAAAGACAAAACAAAAAAAGGAAAGAAGTAAGGAAGGAAAGCTCCGCCTGTTCATCACCTCTTACGTACAAGGCCAGCCACGTGGATGACAGGTTGAGCGCTGGCTGCCCCCATCCATCCCCGTGTGTCACAAGGACCCACTTGCACGCAGCCAAAAGGCAAAAAAGAAGTAAAGAAAAGGAGGAGGAAACCAAACCTGACAGGGAAAGAAAGCCTACCAGTCAACAAAGCAAATGACACATCCCACAGATAATTCAATTGCCACAAAGCAAATCACACATCCCACAGATCAAGATTTTTTTTTTCTTGTTTTCTTTTTATTTTCTTTTTTTCTTTTGTTTTTTTTTTCTTTTTTCTTTTTTTCTTTTTTTCTTTCTTCGGCAATTTGTACTTTTTTTCAATTTTTTCTTCTTTCTTTAACTCCGTATCTGTCGGTAGTGTCGACGGCTTTATCTGTCCCCACCTCGGCAGATAGGACAGCTACGGTGAGGATGACGGGGATGTTCAGAAGGATACCCAAGGAGAGCTGTGTCAGCACAGCATTCAGCAGGACGGCTAGCACGAACCATCCCATCAAAACAGTCCTGACAGAGGACATGTTGTCCAGATGTCACGAAGACAGCAAGACGGTCATCACAATGCGGCATCATGCAGAGGACAATAAGGGTGGGGGCAGCCGCCGCTCAACCTACATCCACGTGGGCGGCCTTGTACGCAAGAGGAGGTTCTGAACAGGGGGAGTTGTAAGAGAGAAGATTAAAAAAAAAAAACGAATTATTTTTTTTTTCTTGTTTTCTTCTGTTTTATTTCGCCTTTGCGCTCTGATATTCATCTGACGATATATATCGTCAAACAGAGCTGCCCGGTAAACCGTAGGCAGAGAGGGAGAAGAGGACAACAAACGAGGTGCTGTGACGATATATATCGTCAAACAGAACTGCCCGGTAGACAGAAGGCAGAGAGGGAGAAGAGGACACCAAACGAGGTTGCCTGTGTATATATACACCCAAAGCCAGTGCGCCTACGCCCACACAATTCCGATTAATTATCCCGTTACTATAATAGTAAAATTGTGCTTGTTAAAAGACGAAAAAACAAAACATTTTTGCTAATGGAATGCAAAGTTAATTTGTAATTAAAAAAAAAAAAAAAAAAAAAAGTTCCGATTAATTAACTAATAATAATTACAGCTACCACCTATATCATGTCAACGACTTTTGACAGCTCCAGTCGACCAGCAGGAAACAGAGAATTAAATCAACTGCTGCTGCACAAACATCAGAGGAGCAAACCCCACAAAAATGGTGAAAGCAAGAAGGAAACCCCAAGCCGATAAAAATCTGCTGATTTGTGTAGCATGTCGGCGGACTAATTAAATTTAAAAAAAAAAAAATGTCGGCGGACTAATTAAATTACAGCAATACTCGATGATGGCCGTGAGCATCAAGAAACAGAAGCGCAAAAATCAACAGATGAGAACTCTGACCGTTCGTTTTTCACCGATTTTAATCAATCCACTCATCATCTTGACGAGTGGAAGAACGCTCCACAGAGCGGAATCGACGAACATCTTGACTTCACTCAAATCGGAGCTGATGAGCATTCGGTGTGTTGGGGTAAACATCGCCGTCACGCGCAAAAAACAATGAAGACGGAAAAAAAAAAAAAAAAAAAAAAGAAGAGGAGCGATGCAACCAGTGTGGCAACATGCCCACCAGTAGAATACAGATTGTAATTTATAATTTTATACAAAAACCAAAAAAAAACAAAGAGACGACAGCAATAGAGTGACAGGAGGAACTCCGGACGTTAGACGCCACAGCATGGCAGCACAAAGGGGAAAAGAAGAAAAGGAAAGGTACATGATAAAGACGAAGCGCTCAAAAGGATGGTAGTAGTATCACGTCATCATCTTTATTTTCATTTTTTTTGAGAATTATCTAGGGCAGACGTGAGTGCCTCCACGAAGAGAAGATAATGGCCCGAAGAGTACTATCCAACTGGGACTGGGATCTCTCTCTGCCCTGTCCCTCTCGCCATCTGTTCCTCCCTCACTCTTCCCGTTCTCTTGCTATTCTCTCCTTTCCATCCCTCTCTCTCTCTCCCCAGCGGGTGCGTCAAGTCATTGATGGCAGTCCAATGCCCCAGCGGGCGCGCTGAGTTTGAACAGCCGTCGCGGTGGCGGGTCTTTTTCCTCTCTCTCTCTCTCTCTCTCTCTCTCTCTCTCTCTCTCTCTCTCTCTCTCTCTCTCTCTCTCTCTCTCTCT